GTTCAGACAAAAGCTTAGTCTTCTCACATTCATGAAGTCTAATAATGGGTATACTGTAAAATCCAAGTTTAACTGAACCTCCGGCACGATTAGAACATCCATTGACCCAGCAGGAGATGACCATTTTCAACTTTATCACACGTTTCAGCTTCTTCTTCTATTGTTTTGCCCACAGCATGCCAGCACAAATGTCGCCGGGTCGGCAAATCCCCGTATGTAGTGACGTCATGTGGGAACTATGTATAGCTGTAAAATGACAGTAAAGCACCAAGCTTCTATACAGCCGCCACCGCCAAATCAAGGAGTATGTAACAACTACGGGTTAGCGACAAAAGTGTGGCTTCTTATACCATGCTACGTTAGCTTTAAAAAAAAAAAAAATTTACAAACGGGAAAAAAGCAATAAAGTAGGACATGTGTAGAGAACCATTGTGGAAACAGCCCTTTGAATCACAGAGACACATTTTAAACTGGGGATTAAAAGCAAATCGAGTCGTGTGACCCTTAACCCCGACCAGATATGTACCGGTTTGTAGTGACGCCATAACTTTGTACCGCGAGTAAAGTCAAAAACAGTCAAGAAACGTCGAATTTTTACATATTATTTACGTCCCATTTTTGTTTTCCATCTGAGAGAGCTGATCTGAGGACAATAAGTGAGACTTTTTCACCATCACAGTGTTTCCAGATTAAGGAACTGGTCATTTTTGATACTGCACACGTTTCAGGAAATAGGTATCAAAATTCAAGACTTGATTAATTCTTTTTCAACTACAAGAGCAATCTTTTTGACAGCTTTTAGTTCCGGAAGTGTACATTTTGGATTTTGTTTGACATTTTCCATGTGTTTGTTATTTCTTTGTCATTCCTATCAAATCATCTTTTGTCTTAGAAACGTGAGCAGTTCTACCTTTAACTGTGCTAGTTACCATAGCAACACACCATTAACTGTCAGCAGTTAGCATTAGCATCGACTGATTTAGCTGTATTTTTATATTCACCTGTTTTAGCACTTGTTAAGGGAGATTAAATGGAAACTTGTTAATTACTTCCTTGAAAAAAACGGATATTAAATGATTATTTATGTGAGTAGCTCTAACTCTTAACTGTGCTAGTTACCATGGCAACACACGTTTGACTGTCTGCAGTTAGCCTTTAGCATTAGCATCAACTGTTTTTGCTGTATTTTTACTTGTTGAAGGTGATTAAATGTAAAAAAAACAACAACTTTCTTTTAATGAATTCTGGATAACCATTTTTTAATTCTCCCTTGATCGGAATAGGAGCAGTCAAAATGACGGCTCTGGGAGTTCGAGTAGCTTAAGAATTCTGGGTTTGTAGAAATATGGTATTATTTCTATATTCAATGCGTTTAAGGAGACACTTTAAGACCCTGTAGGAACCTTGAATATGATTGTGATGGATCTTACAGTTATGAACGTCAAAAACCTTTTAAAGCTTGTTAATCACAGGACATAACAATCACTAACACTTTTTCAGACAGAAATAAAGCAGAAAGTGTCTCAAATTTCCCCTACAAATATACAATAGGTTAAACGTTTTCTAATTGGATCGGGACAAAGTGTAGCAAGAATGTTAAGATACTCAAAGTTGTGTTAAAAATACACTTTCTGGAAAACAAAACAGAATTCTCTGAGTTCAAAGAAGGAGAAGTCAGGTACCGTAGCAAGATGTATAAAGTATATCTTCTTCTTAAAAGTCATCAGGGGGAAAACAAACTAGTCTTTCAACTCCACACTTAGCCCTCTGAACAGAATTGCGCTGGCACCACCTACTGGAGCAACGAGACATTACTCAAGGCACTTCTAATCTTCCTCAGCATGTAACGTAGCCCTCATATTAGAAGCATGGCCGCGGTCACAGAATAGTTTAATTCTTGGACTATATTATCAGCCAAGAACTGTGCAAAAGTACATTAGAGTTGATTCATAAATGGAGCTCGGTGAACTTGCGATTTCAAACACTAAATCTTGAGAGGGTTTCAAAAAGTAGACGAATAACAAACAACAATACCGGTTATTTTTGATCGTCTCACTGAAGAATTTCAATCTTAGCAACATATAGCAAGAACTCAAAACGCGTAGAGAGAGAAGCTGAGAAATAGTTTCGTCTGCATAGTCCTATCCCGCTCCAGTCTGCGTTTAACAATAAAAAAACAAAAGGAAAACTGACAAAAACAACATGATCTAGAGAGCTTTTCTTTCAGTACGAAATGTATAATCTCTAATCTCTCCACGCTGAATGGCAAGACGTGCTGCTACATGAAAAGACATCCTTCATTTGGCTCACATTAGCTGGATCCTAGAAGCAAAGTCTGGCAGAAAATCAAACAAAATCATGTATATATATATTTTAAAACTCACACAAAAAAAACCTCACACAAACAGACTGCATGTGTTGGAAATAAACTGTACAATATTCTTTTGCGCATGTGAAGCTCAGTGAAAAACAGTCAATGAAAACAGGAAGTACAGCAAAAAACAGTCTACCAAGCAATTACAGTACCGAGATCTATGCACTGTCGGACACATAGGGGGCGACAGAGCAGAAGCGCTGGCTACGGGATCAACAGAAGACGAGAAGGGAGGAAGAAGAAGGCTCAATGTACCGATCCAATGGCAGGGCAGTTTCACAAAGAGGCTACTCGGTTCGTTTACAAAGCATAAAAATACATAAAATGCTATTAACGGACTACCGGGGGTGCTTCCGAACCGGTCTGACCAGTCTAGTCCCGGTCTACATGCGACCAAGCCGTGTGATGCTTTCAAGGGGCTTCTCGTAACTTGTCTTTTGCGCTCAAACTTGTGATTGTAGCGTTGCTAGGATACAGACGGTATAAGCACACAACATATTGTTTATTTGATCCCAACACACACGCATCTTGCTCTATCTAATTAAATTGGACGAGACGAGTTACTATCTGTTTTTCACTTGTGCTTTGTAACCGTTCTGTGTCTTATTTTCCTCATTTTTTTCATGTAATGCCTTTGAAAAATATGAGGGACATGAATCGCTATATATCGCAGAATCGAATCGAATCACTTCCTGTATCGCGATAGGTTAAGAATCGCGATAATATTGAATCGTGTCCCGAAATATCGCAAAACTTCCCGAATTGTCACAGTTTTTTTTGCCAATTCCCACTTCCACTTCTCAAGCAGTTTTGTCTCAAGCCAGAACCGAGGCAGGTGAGGTGAAAAGGGTACGTTTTTGAAAGTAAATATTGTTGAAATTGTCGCGTTTGGCCATCTTTGTGAAACCCTCCCGTCTGCCTTGTTTGTCTTGTACCTGTTTAAAACACACAAAAGACACGTACCATGCAGAGAAACACACACTGCACCTCTTCAGTGGAAATCGCGACGAGCCGAAAGCAGCAGAAAATACACATTTGATAAAAATATAGACTCCGTTGTATCTTAAAGCTGTCGACGGCCATCTTCCCCTCTCCTCCTTCTTCTTCTCGGTTCATGGACACAGGCTTGTGGTCAATCGAAGCTATTTCTATGGCACTTATTAAGCGCGCTCAATAAAAACTCTTCCTCATCCAGTGACGACACCTCTGGTCCACGACGTTTTTCTGTCGTTTTTATATATTTGCTTCTTGCCGACACGGTGCAGGCGAGTCCGATCCTGGGCGACGTTTCGGCCGCGTGTTCCAAGGCGGAGAAAAGCACCTCTGAATACTTTTTATTTCTGTGCTTTTTTGAGACGTCCCGAGATACGTTGGTTTTATAAAAAGAAAAAAATCAAATGTACAGTCATGGCCACCGGCGAGAAGCGACGGGACGAGAGCTGGAGCCGCGGAAGTGAAGGGAGAACGATCTGGAGAGAGATTTTCTTGACGTTTTGGCTTTTGATTCGGACCAGAATGGGTTAAATCGATGAGAAAGTCATGCGTAGTGAGATAAACGTTGATTTAAAGCAGGGGTTCTCAACTGGAATGGTGTTGGAACCCATTACGGACTTACAACCAATGTCAGAATTCAAAAATAATCTTTAATAATCTTAACAATAACAAATCTATCAATGGCACACCTTTGACAATAAAGTAAAATTGTTATCGCAGTGGATTGAGATGTTTTTATTAAGTATAAAAACTTGTTAAGAAAATGTTACTTTTTTCTAGATTTCTTTTTGCAGTGAAATTGAGATTTTCTAAGCGTTGTTTTGGAAAGGTTCTCGACCCACCAGTTGAAAACCACTGCTTTAAAAGACACATATTATGCACAAATCCGTTTGAGCTTTAACCAAGTTTCTCAGCAAGAAGTTGAGTTGTTTATAAGAAACTTTTGGTAAAAATTGGCCCAAATTTGCGCCTTTCCTTTTGTCCTTTTGTCTAATGTCTACTGCTTTAAAATTAGCTTCACTATGACCCAGTAGTGGTAGAAAAAAATAGATTCTGTTCAGTATCGAATTTTCGCAATGTTTTAGGCACACAATCAAAGTATTGCAATATCTAATAAAATAATTATTTTTTTCACTTTTGTGTTTACACTGGTAATTTCCGTCTGAGGCTTATGTTATTTTTACTGTATCGCAATACGTTAAAAATTGTGGCTCAAATATCGCAAAACTCCAAAAAAAACTGAATCGTCACATTTCTGCAGATTCCCATCACTACAATGACTTCATGGACAGAGCTGTAGTTTTTGGAGGATTTCTCTTTCCAACCGCTGCCGTCAATCACAGTTTCAAAGTGACGTACTGCAGCTTTAAGAAACGAGTTTGCATTTTAAAAACAGGGACAGTTATGTTAAAAAGACTATGTTCCGGAGCTCAGATGGACAAAGCATAGTATGTGTCTAATGTGTTGATGTGTGTGAGCTCTGATCCGATATGAACGCTGGCAAAAGTGGCATTTCTCTCTCCGTCCCGTCGCAGCCTTAGTCCAACTGTACTCGTGTGCTTGAAGCTGGAGCGGGACCATAGTCTGTGTTTGTCTCCGCCCTCGCTCTGGCTGTGGGGGTGGGGGTGGTGGTTCATCTGGGGTGCTGCTGCTGGCTGGGGGAGCGGGCCATCACGGGGTAGGCCAGCGTCACATTCAAGTGGTCGTTGTGCTGGACCAGGGACACGCTCTTGTAGTGCAGCACCAGGTTTTTGAGAGACGAGTACAGGTTGTAGGGCTCCGCGAAGCCGAAGCCGGTGGAGGTCTTGAAGATCACGCAGTGTTTGGTGTCGCCGTCCACGCTGGAGGGGTGAGAAGGGGTGAGGAGGGGGAGAAATGACGAGTGATTAGAAGGTGTGTGTGCAAATATGGAGAGTGACTCGAGTATATGAAGAAAATAAACATGTTTTCTATTGTCTTTTGGTGTCATTTATCTCCCAGTTCACCGGAGGAAGTGACAGGTGCATAGTTCAAAACCACAGTGGTACAAAAGCAAAATAAAAGTGTCTTAAATAACAGCTGGGTAGGAATACAAGGGCCAGAGAGAGAGGTTAAAGCGGCTGTATGTTTGCTCTCAGACCATGGTTTGGGCAGAGAGAGAGACCAGAGACAGAGACCGGAGAGAAACAAGAGAGAGACCAGAGAGAGAGACCGGAGAGAAACAAGAGAGAGACCAGAGACAGAGACCGGAGAGAAACAAGAGAGAGACCAGAGAGAGAGCGACCAGAGACAGAGAAACCAGAGACAGAGACCGGAGAGAAACAAGAGAGAGACCAGAGAGAGAGCGACCAGAGACAGAGAAACCAGAGACAGAGAAACCAGAGACAGAGAAACCAGAGATAAACAAGAGAGAGACCAGAGAGAGAGCGACCAGAGACAGAGACCGGAGATAAACAAGAGAGACACCAGAGAGACACCAGAGAGACACCAGAGGGAGAGACTAGAGAAATCAGAGATAGCCTAGAGAGAAAGACGAGAGAGAGCGAGACCAGAGACAGAGACCAAAGAGAAACAAGAGAGACCAGAGAGAAAGACTAGAGACAGAGAGCAGAGATACCAAAGAGAGCCTAGAGAGAAAGACCAGAGAGAGAAACCATAGAGAAACAAGAGAGAGACCAGAGAGAAATACTACGGACAGAGCCTAGAGAAAGACCAGAGAGAGAGACTAGAGACAGAGACCAGAGAACCAGAGACAGCCTAGAGAGACCAGAGAGAGACATGGGACAGACCAGAGACGGAGACCAGAGACCAGAGAGAGACCAGTGAAACACCAGAGCTAGAACAGGTCTGTTCTAGTATTAGCTAAAATGCTACTCACACGACGGAGCAGGCGTAGGAGCCCTTCTGTGATTGGCTGTCGCGGATGAGGAAGGTCCCGGTGCACTTGCCCCTCAGCAGGTCCTCAGCGTGGGTGCGGGTGATGTCCCCCACGTACCAGGAACCTTCGTCGTGATGTGGAGAAACCTCATCCTCCTCCAGAGAGTAGGAGCTGAGAGAGAGGAGAGACAAGTGGGTTTAGTTCATCTGTTTTACACACACTTTTAATTCTATGTCATTTTGTGTATAAAAAACAAAAGTCATTATCTCAGAGGGACCAGAGAGAGGTCAGAGAGGGACCAGAGAGATACAAGAGAGAGACCAGAGTGAGAGGCCAAAGAGAGACCAGAGAGAGACCAGAGAGAAAGACAAGAGAGAGAGAAAGCATAGAGAGACCAGAGTGAGAGGCCAAAGAGAGTAGAGAGACTAGAGAGAGAGACCAGAGACAGGGCAGAGAGAGACCAGAGAGGGACCAGAGAGAGACCAGAGAGGGACCAAAGAGAGACCAGAGAGGGACCAGAGAGAGACCAGAGAGAGACCAGAGAGGGACCAAAGAGAGACCAGAGACCAGAGTGAGAGGCCAAAGAGAGACAAGAGAGAGACCAGAGAGAGACCAGAGAGAGAGAGCAAAGAGAGACCAGAGTGAGAGGCCAAAGAGAGACAAGAGAGAGACCAGAGAGAGACCAGAGAGAAAGACAAGAGAGAGAGAGAGCAAAGAGAGACCAGAGTGAGAGGCCAAAGAGAGTAGAGAGACTAGAGAGAGAGACCAGAGACAGGGCAGAGAGAGACCGGAGAGAGACCAGAGACATAAATGTTTACACAGCACTCTTTAAACGTATATAGTTTATGTAATCTCACTATCACTACTAGTACTACTGCTGGTGCTGCTGCTGGTACTGCTGCTGGTTCTGCTGGTACTGCTGCTGTTGCTGCTGCTAGTGAAAGCTGTGTTTCTGGAGTACTCACTCGTCTGCCTCGTTCTTGATGCCCAGCCACTCGTTGATCTTCTTCTGTCGCGTTCCCTTCTGTGTGAGCCATCTGTGGAGAGAGAGAGCGTGGGTTTGAAGTGACACCATGAAGGGGCCACAAAATAGTATATAGACCAGAGAGAGACCAGAGAGAGACTAGAGAGAGACTGGAGAGAGACCAGAGAGACTAGAGAGAGACTAGAGAGAGACGAGAGAGAGACCAGAGAGAGACCAGAGAGAGACCAGAGAGAGACCAGAGAGAGACTAGAGAGAGACGAGAGCGAGACTAGAGAGAGACGAGAGAGAGACTAGAGAGAGGCCAGAGAGAGACCAGAGAGAGACCAGAGAGAGACCAGAGCGAGACTAGAGAGAGACGAGAGAGAGACTAGAGAGAGACCAGAGAGAGACCAGAGCGAGACTAGAGAGAGACGAGAGAGAGACTAGAGAGAGACTAGAGAGAGAGACTGGAGAGAGACCAGATTCAGATTCATTTATTTGCCATTTGCAGTAAAACCACATTGGAAAAACTGTGCAAGACTACCCCAGTGTGCACCAGACAAAGACGACACACACCAGAGCTCTTGCCAGAGCATGGCGCCATCTTTACGGCGCCATGCGAACCAGAGAGAGAGATCAGAGAGATCAGAGAGAGACCAGAGAGAGACTGGAGATAGACCAGAGAGACCAGAGATACACGAAAGAGAGACCAGAGAGAGACCAAAGAGCGAGACCTGAGAAAGACCAGGAAGAGATCAGAAAGAGACCAGAGAGAATTCAGTGAGACTAGAGAGAGACCAGAGAGAGAGACAGCTGTGACAGCCGCACCCACAGTGAGTATAGATAGAGTATAGAGTATATAGTATAGAGTATAAACGTGGACCTACATGAGGTACTGGTCTCTGGTCTTGCGCAGCTGCATCAGGTCTGGTTTGAGGCTGTTCATTTTCTTGTCGATCTCTCGGTTGTCGTTGACCTGTTTCCTCAGATCCTGCTCCAGCTTCACTTTGCTGTCGTGGATCTCCTTCACACGAGACTTCAGCCGCTCAGAGTTACTTTGGATCCTGTTTTTCACAACAGAGGTTTGAATTGTTGTTCAAACCTTAATGATGTGTTATCATTAAGTGAAAACAGGAAATACAAATATTGAAGTAGCAGCAGTAGTAGCAATAGCAGTAGTAGTAGTAGCAGTAGTAGTAGTAGCAGTAGTAGCAGTAGCAGCAGTAGCAGTAGCAGTAGTAGTAGCAGTAGTAGTAGCAGTAGTAGCAGTAGCAGTAGCATCAGTAGTAGTAGCAGTAGTAGCAGTAGCAGTAGCATCAGTAGTAGCAGTAGCAGTAGCAGCAGTAGTAGCAGTAGCAGTAGCAGCAGCAGTAGCAGTAGCAGCAGCAGTAGCAGTAGCAGCAGTAGTAGCAGTAGCAGCAGCAGTAGCAGCAGCAGTAGCAGTAGCAGTAGCAGTAGCAGCATCAGTAGTAGCAGTAGCAATAGCAGCAGTAGTAGCAGCAGTAGCAGCAGCAGTAGCAGTAGCAGTAGCAGCAGCAGCAGTAGCAGTAGCAGCAGCAGTAGTAGCAGTAGCAGTAGCAGTAGCAGCAGCAGTAGCAGCAGCAGCAGCAGCAGCAGTAGCAGTAGCAGTAGTAGCAGCAGTAGCGTGACGATGACTTACTTCTGTATTTCCTTCTCGTTTCCTTCTCTCTGGAACTTCTCCAGAGACTCGCGGCTGTATCTCTCCTGAGTCTCGAACTGTTCCTCAAAGATCTTGATGGTCTCGTTAAAGGCCTCGATGGCCGTTCTCTTCATCTGCAGCTCCTGACGAAAGAACAACACTGTCACAGACCAGAGGGAGACCAGAGAGAGACCAGAGGGAGACCAGAGGGAGACCAGAGGGAGACCAGAGAGAGACCAGAGAGAGACCAGAGGGAGACCAGAGGGAGACCAGAAAGAGACCAGAGAGAGGCCAGAGGGAGACCAGAGAGAGACCAGAGAGAGACCAGAGAGAGACCAGAGGGAGACCAGGGAGAGACCAGAGAGAGACCAGAGAGAGACCAGAGAGAGACCAGAGAGAGGCCAGAGAGAGACCAGAGAGAGACCAGAGGGAGACCAGAGGGAGACCAGAGAGAGACCAGAGAGAGGCCAGAGAGAGACCAGAGAGAGACCAGGGAGACCAGAGAGAGACCAGAGAGACCAGGGAGAGACCAGAGAGAGACCAGAGAGAGACCAGGGAGAGGCCAGGGAGAGGCCAGGGAGAGACCAGCTGGTGTGGGTCCAAACCTGGGAGGTGCGGGTGTACTCCTCGTACAGGGAATCGTACTCGCGACTCTTCTCCTGGTATTGTTCATGGTAAACCTTCAGCTGCTCTCCCACCTCCTCAATACTCGTCTCCTTCACAAGCTGCAAACACACACACACACACACACACACACACAGAAAAACACACACACACACACACACACACACACACACACACACACACACACACACACACACACACACACACACACACACACACACACACACACACACACACACACACACACACACACACACACACACACATTTTGCCTGAGTTTAGACATTGTTACTTCTGTATTATAGTAAAAAGTATAAAGAAAAACTCCCAAGACCTGATAGGACTGAGGTCTGAGGTCTGATAGGTCTGATAGGTTTGAGGTCTGATAGGACTGAGGTCTGATAGGTCTGAGGTCTGGTCTGGTCTGAGGTCTCGGACAGACCTGCTGGTTCTTGGAGACCGGGTAGAGCAGCCGAGTGTCCAGTTTGGTGTTGTACTGGGCCAGGGACTCGTGACGATAGTGTTGGATCAGCTCCACTACGGACCTGAAGGTGAGCGGCTCCGAGAAGCCGTAGAAACCCTCTTTGTTGTAGATCTTTATCAGTTTGTTGTTTCCTCCTTTTCTGCTCAGACACATCCGGATCACAGCGAGTAAGTAAAGTTATTTATCTAGCACATTTTACAGACCAAGGTCACCCAAAGCTTCACAAAGTTCAGAGTTCAGAGGACACACACACACACACACAACTTTAAACTGTAAATGTGAAACAGTGACTGAGACGAGGGACTAGGGACAACTGCCTCCTCTCGGTGTGGAGGAGCAGCGGCTCTCCTTCGAGTTCCATCAAGCTCCTGTGTTTTTACCCATCGCAGCAGGAGATTCACTAAACTCACTGATTGTTGTTTTAGGCCGGCTACAAGAGCTTCTGCCGTATGGATAGTCCAAAACTATGTTCTACTTTCACGACTCCTCCTTTAAAGAAGTAACCTTTAATAGCTTTGGAATTAGTTTTATTTTTTATTGTAATCTATGCCATTTTAGAAAAACATTTATTTTATTTATGGTTGTATTTTTTGTGAGGTAAGTCTTTCTCTGGTTTCTCTCCAGTCTCTCTCTATGTCTGGTCTCTCTCTGGTCTCTCTCTGGTCTCTCTCCCTGGTCTCTCTCTGGTCTCTCTCTGGTCTCTCTCCGGTCTCTCTCCGGTCTCTCTCTCTGGTCTCTCTCTCTGGTCTCTCTCTCTCTGGTCTCTCTCCGGTCTCTCTCCGGTCTCTCTCTCTGGTCTCTCTCTGATCCCTCTCTATGTCTGGTCTCTCTCTCTCTCTCTCTGGTCTCTCTCTCTTACTGGTCTCTCTCTCTCACTGGTCTCTCTCTCTCACTGGTCTCTCTCTCTCACTGGTCTCTCTTTCTCACTGGTCTCTCTCTCTCAGTTCTCTCTCTCACTGGTCTCTCTCTCTCACTGGTTTCTCTCTCTCACTGGTCTCTCTTTCTCACTGGTCTCTCTCTCTTAGTTCTCTCTCTCACTGGTCTCTCTCTGGTCTCTCTCTCTGGTCTCTCTCTGGTCTCTCTCTCTCACTGGTCTCTCTCTCTCACTGGTCTCTCTTTCTCACGGGTCTCTCTCTCTCAGTTCTCTCTCTCACTGGTCTCTCTCTCTGGTCTCTCTCTCTCACTGGTCTCTCTCTATTCTCTAAACTAAGGTCATTTGGTACCAGAGAATAATAAATAACTTGCATTACTTCAGTTATGTGTTCATTTAGATTATTAACAAATTATTAACGGATAATAATAATAATAATACTAATAATAATAAATAAATACATGTAATACCTGAGGGTTAGTGTGTACTCTCCCTCTAGTTTACTGGAGGCGTCTCGGACCAGGAAGGTTCCATCCAGAGTGTCCCGCATCTTCTCGTTCACCTCCTCCCTGCGACACACAACCCCACATCAGCACATCACCCTCAGAGTCCGACAGCCCAGAGGGGGCGGAGCTACCACGTGTATCTGACCAATGGGAGGACAGAGGACGCTCATGGCCATAATCTGTGCTATTACCTGGAGATCTCGCCCCAGTACCACTCAGCGTCACTGAGCAGACTGGTCACGTCGGTCGTACTGGATGGAACCGGTTTAGACGGAATTGGTTTGGCCGGAAGAACTGTGTGGATGAAGCCACAGAGAGAGAGACGTGTTAGTTTGAGTTTTTAACACCAGGACTCACAGAATCCTGAATCTACAAGAAATCCCATCATTTAAACTACTAAAGGTTTGTATATTTCTCCATTGTGAGATCAATCAAGTTTATCTTATCTTAAAACTACAGACATTTCAATAAATGTTAAATAATTTGAAAGTTATGACATAGAAATATATGACATTACGATAGAGGAAATGCACAGAGGATGTAATGTCACACTTTGACCACTAGGTTCTCACCAGACCTCCTCCGACATCACTCATGTAGATGCAGATGTTTGAACTTGGTCGATTTCACTTTGTAAATGCCAAAGCTCAAGCACGCATGTGATTATGATGATGTTTAGGCCAAAGAGAACCACGGCCCGGTACCTGGAGGAGGGAGGTCCGGCTGGGTCGCTCTCTCCAGGATCAGTCTCTCCACAATCAGAGCCGGAAACTGCTCCTCCACTGGAGACCTGAGAGGAAATGGTCCCAGTGTTTAATGGTCTCTCTCTATGGTCTCTCTCTCTGGATTCTCTCTCTGGTCTCTCTCTGGTCTCTCTCTGGTCTCCCTCTGGTCTCTCTCTGGTCTCTCTCTCTGGTCTCTCTCTCTGGTCTCTCTCTCTGGTCTCTCTCTGGTCTCTCTGTGGTCTCTCTCTGGTCTCTCTCTGGTCTCTCTCCCTGGTCTCTCTCTGGTCTCTCTCTGGTCTCTCTCTCGGGTCTCTCTCTGGTCTCTCTCTGGTCTCTCTCTCAGGTCTACCTCTGGTCTCTCTCTGGTCTCTCTGTGGTCTCTCTCTGGTCTCCCTCTGGTCTCTCTCTGGTCTCTCTCTCTGGTCTCTCTCTCTGGTCTCTCTCTCTGGTCTCTCTCTGGTCTCTCTGTGGTCTCTCTCTGGTCTCTCTCTGGTCTCTCTCTCTGGTCTCTCTCTGGTCTCTCTCTGGTCTCTCTCTCGGGTCTCTCTCTGGTCTCTCTGGTCTTTCTCTGGTCTCTCTCAGGTCTACCTCTGGTCTATCTCTGGTCTCTCTCTCTGGTCTCTCTCTCTGGTCTCTCTCTCTGGTCTCTCACTGGTCTCTCTCTCTGGTCTCTCTCTGGTCTCTCTCTGGTCTCTCTCTGGTCTCTCTCCCTGGTCTCTCTCTGGTCTCTCTCTGGTCTCTCTCTCGGGTCTCTCTCTAGTCTCTCTGGTCTTTCTCTGGTCTCTCTCTCTGGTCTCTCTCTGGTCTCTCTCTCTGGTCTCTCACTGGTCTCTCTCTCTGGTCTCTCTCTCTGGTCTCTCTCTGGTCTCTCTCTGGTCTCTCTCTGGTCTCTCTCCCTGGTCTCTCTCTGGTCTCTCTCTGGTCTCTCTCTCTGGTCTCTCTCTGGTCTCTCTCTGGTCTCTCTCCCTGGTCTCTCTCTGGTCTCTCTCTGGTCTCTCTCCCTGGTCTCTCTCTGGTCTCTCTCTGGTCTCTCTCTCGGGTCTCTCTCTAGTCTCTCTCTCTGGTCTCTCTCTGGTCTCTCTCTCTGGTCTCTCTCTCTGGTCTCTCACTGGTCTCTCACTGGTCTCTCTCTCTGGTCTCTCTCTCTGGTCTCTCTCTGGTCTCTCTCTGGTCTCTCTCTGGTCTCTCTCCCTGGTCTCTCTCTGGTCTCTCTCTGGTCTCTCTCTCTGGTCTCTCTCTGGTCTCTCTCTGGTCTCTCTCCCTGGTCTCTCTCTGGTCTCTCTCTGGTCTCTCTCCCTGGTCTCTCTCTGGTCTCTCTCTGGTCTCTCTCTCGGGTCTCTCTCTGGTCTCTCTCTCTGGTCTCTCTCTGGTCTCTCTCTCTGGTCTCTCTCTGGTCTCTCTCTCTGGTCTCTCCCTGGTCTCTCTCCCTGGTCTCTCTCTGGTCTCTCTCTGGTCTCTCTCCCTGGTCTCTCTCTGGTCTCTCTCTCGGGTCTCTCTCTGGTCTCTCTGGTCTTTCTCTGGTCTCTCTCTCTGGTCTCTCTCTGGTCTCTCTCTAGTCTCTCTCTCTGGTCTCTCCCTGGTCTCTCTCTGGTCTCTCTCTGGTCTCTCTCCCTGGTCTCTCTCTGGTCTCTCTCTGGTCTCTCTCTGGTCTCTCTCCTTTCTTTGGCCAAACCAACAAACAAACTTTCAATAAAAGTTCAGAGGGCTGCGATAACACTCACCAGCCGGAGGAAGATGAGGAGGAGGAGGAAGAGGAGGAGGAGGAGGAGGAAGAGGAGGTCCGTATGAGCAGCGGCCCAAACACCTGTCCCAGGCCGTGTGCGTCCAGGCCACACCTGCCCTGGGTCACTCTGGTCAGGTGTGTCAGGAGGAAGTGCAGTGTGGGCCGGTGCTGCAGGAGCATAGTGGAGGCCTCCAGGACCTGGCTCACCGCCTGACCATGGGCCCCTGCACCATCTGCAAACACCAGAGAGACAAGGACCATTACATACTATGGGTAACATGACAGGGAGAAAAGAGAAACCAGAGAGAGAGAGACCACAGAGAGACCAGAGAGAGAGAGACCAGTGAGAGAAACCATAAAGAGACCAGAGAGAAACCATAGAGACCAGATAGAGGGATCATAGAGAGACCAGAGAGAGACCAGAGAGAGAGACTAGAGAGAGACCAGAGAGAGACCACAGAGAAACCATAGCGAGACCAGAGAAAGAGACCACAGAGAAACCATAGAGAGACCAGAGAGAGACCAGAGAGAGACCAGAGAGAGAGACCAGAGAGAGACCAGAGAGAGACCAGAGAGAGACCAGAGAGAGACCAGAGAGAGACCAGAGAGAGACATGTACAGTAAGTCAACAGGAGTCAGAGCGATTCCCTGTTGTTTTAAGCTAGCGTTAGCATTGTCCATCTATATACAGTCTACGGTAAACAATCATTACCTGCGGCCTGGCTCTGCTGCTGACTAATGAGCGCCCCCTGGAGGAGTGGGTAGGCGGTGACAGGGATGACAGGACAGGGCAGGTCTCTCAGATAGTTCAGGACGCACGCCGACAGGAAGCCCACGTCTTTCTGGTTCAGCTCAGCGTCTGCAGCAGCAAAAGCAACACATCAGAGAACGGGCCGAGGAAAGGAATCAGAAATGTGTTGTCTTGGATCCTCACCGCTGAGAAGGCTCGGTGTGGGGCCGTTTGAAGCCGTCCGGTACAATGTTTTGCTGTCCAACCCTGAGAACAAATTAATTATAATGTGCATTAATAATTTATATATATTTAGATTAACACAGGGTCAATCTGTGTGTGGATCAGTCAAAACAAAGAAAATTCCACCATTCGCTCCCACCGTATAAGGAAAAATTGCAAAAAGTTATTGAGGGTGTGATTTTAGAAGAAAGAGAGAGTGGATTAAGATTTAGAGATTCTTCCTTTGTGGGGAAATGTCAGTGTTGCATCACAAGAACAGTAGGAATGAGGAGCACACGACACAAGTGAAAACAAAAACTATCATTAGCTTCTTAAAGAGGCAAAAGTAAAAACCTGTAAACTCTAGAGCAAAATATAAATGTTTTTATATAAGAGAAGAAAGAGAGAGAGTGAGAGAGAGAGGCGGGAGAGAGGGAGAGAGAGAGAGTGAGACAGACAGGGAGAGAGAGACAGAGACACAGAGAGAGACACAGAGAGAGGGAGATACAGACAGAGAGAGACAGAGAGAGACACAGAGAGAGAGAGGCGGGAGAGAGCGAGAGAGAGAGAGTGAGACAGACAGGGAGAGAGAAACAGAGACACAGAGAAAGAGACAGAGAGAGACACAGAGAGAGAGAGACAGAGACAGAGAGACACAGAGAGAGAGAAACAGAGAGAGACAGAGAGACACACAGAGAGAGACAGAGACAGAGAGAGACACAGAGAGAGAGAGACAGAGAGAGACACAGAGAGACAGAGACAGAGAGAGACACAGAGAGAGAGACAGAGAGAGACACAGAGAGAGAGACAGAGAGAGACACAGAGAAAGAGAGACAGAGAGAGACAGAGAGAGACAGAGAGAGACACAGAGAGAGAGAGGCGGGAGAGAGAGAGAGTGAGACAGACAGGGAGAGAGAAACAGAGACACAGAGAAAGAGACAGAGAGAGACACAGAGAGAGAGAGACAGAGACAGAGAGACACAGAGAGAGAGAAACAGAGAGAGACAGAGAGACACACAGAGACAGAGAGAGAGAGACAGAGAGAGACACAGAGAGAGAGACAGAGAGAGACACAGAGAGAGAGAGACAGAGAGAGACAGAGAGAGACACAGAGAGAGAGACAGAGAGAGACACAGAGAAAGAGAGACAGAGAGAGACACAGAGCGAGAGAGACAGAGAGACACAGAGAGACACAGAGAGAGACACAGAGAGAGAGACACAGAGAGAGACACAGAGAGAGAGACACAGAGAGAGAGACAGAGAGAGAGAGAGACCTCAGACCAAAGCAGACGCACTTGATTCAATATTGTGTTTACATAAAGAGACAGACCTGTTGCCGCCACATTCAGTCTTATCTAGACACAACTACACACACATCTACACATTGTAATCTGAATGTATGTATGTGTGTGTGTGTGTGTGTGTGTGTGTGTGTATGTGTGTGTGTGTGTGCACGTGTGTATGGTAGTCACTAAACACCGTCGCGTAGAGCAAAAAAAAAAAAAACGTCAATATTTTGTCTTAAAACTTGCAGAACTGGGTCAAGATAACACCGTCCCCAACAAAGTTTACATCTGAGGGGGTTGTACGTTGAGGGGGGGGGCATACCTCGTCTCTCGATGGCCTGGATGAGGAGCACCAGCGCTGGGGGGGCCGTCTCTGGTGGTGAGAACTGCTCGCTCAGCTCCGGCGCCAAAACAGCTGAAACAACAACACAAATCACTTTACAACACTTTACAACACTTCACACACAGACACTGAGTACAGGGCTGTCGCACAACACCACACACAACTATAGTCCCACAACACGACACAGGCCTGGGATATGGCACACAACTGTAGTCGCACAACACCACACAGGCCTGACCTATATAACAGACAATACTTAAAGTTACTATAGTATTAATGACCTATATAACAGACAATACTTAAAGTTACTATAGTATTAATGACCTATATAACAGACTATACTTAAAGTTACTGTAGTATTAATGACCTATATAACAGACTATACTTAAAGTTACTATAGTATTAATGACCTTTATAACAGACAATACTTAAAGTTACTATAGTATTAATGACCTTTATAACAGACAATACTTAAAGTTACTATAGTATTAATGACCTTTATAACAGACAATAGTTAAAGTTACTATAGTATTAATGACCTATATAACAGACTATACTTAAAGTTACTATAGTATTAATGACCTACATAACAGACTATACTTAAAGTTACTATAGTATTAATGACCTATATAACAGACAATACTTAAAGTTACTATAGTATTAATGACCTATATAACAGACAATACTTAAAGTTACTTTAGTATTAATGACCTATATAACAGACAATACTTAAAGTTACTATAGTATTAATGACCTATATAACAGACTATACTTAAAATTACTATAGTATTAATGACCTTTAACAGACAATACTTAAAGTTACTATAGTATTAATGACCTATATAACAGACAATACTTAAAGTTACTATAGTATTAATGACCTATATAACAGACTATACTTAAAGTTACTGTAGTATTAATGACCTATATAACAGACTATACTTAAAGTTACTATAGTATTAATGACCTTTATAACAGACAATACTTAAAGTTACTATAGTATTAATGACCTTTATAACAGACAATACTTAAAGTTACTATAGTATTAATGACCTACATAACATACTATACTTAAAGTTACTATAGTATTAATGACCTATATAACAGACAATACTTAAAGTTACTATAGTATTAATGACCTATATAACAGACAATACTTAAAGTTACTATAGTATTAATGACCTATATAACAGACTATACTTAAAGTTACTATAGTATTAATGACCTTTATAACAGACAATACTTAAAGTTACTATAGTATTAATGACCTTTATAACAGACAATACTTAAAGTTACTATAGTATTAATGACCTTTATAACAAACTATACAAGTGCATATGTGTGAAAGTTACTATAGCATTTTGTAACTAGACCAAAAGTTGCTTCAGGTTTTTTCTCTTAAATAAAAAAGTGCTGATTAACCGCGGCGCTGCGAACCCCACCGTTTCTCTGACGACCGGTGTTGCATTTATTGCCGTGTGCAGCAGAGAGGAACAAAATGTGCAGAATGCAATAAAACCAACCGGCTCTTATTCAGTGGAGGAGTATAAAAAGGACAGAGAATGAAACGGTGCAGAGAGAGAGAAAAACTTTATCTGCTTTACAACTCCCCAAAGACTAAATCAAACATCCTTTCAGAGCCAGAGGACCCTCCCCCTCCCTCACCCCCTCCCTCACCCCCCTCCCTCCCTCCGTCTCCTGCTTGCTGCTTCACCTTAGTGCTTTGCGTGAGTGGAGAACAATAAAGGATTTAATCAAAACTCCTGAACAAGCAAAAGCCCAGTGGCCCAGCGCCAGAGCGGGGCCGAGAGCCAGGCCCCGCCGAGAGCCAGGCCCCGAGGAGAGCCAGGCCCCGCCGAGAGCCAGGCCCCGCGGCAGGCCCACACTTCTCACACTCAGTTATCGCCTCGGCTCTGCACGGAGACGATAGTTTCACAAAATGTATCGCGATATCGGGGGTTTACTTATCACAGTTTTTACCCTTGTTTTTTTACATAGAAAAAAGTTATTCTACGGGTGGCAGAGGCTTTGAGTCTGAAGGTTGTGGGTTCGAGTAGGGCTGGGCGATATGGCTGAAAACTATATCACAATATAAGTAATTGACCGATATGATTGTGTTTATTTATTTATTTTATTTTATAACCTAAATAAATAAGTTGTGTTGTTGTCGGCTAACTCTTACAGCACTTTTTTACATCACGGGAATGAGGCTGCAGACAAATGTTCACAAGCAGTCTCCTCCATAGTTAGTCCTGATTTAATCCTGGTTTAGTCCTGGTTTAGTCCTGGTTTAGTCCTGTTGTGGCTGTTTTCGAGTGTCTTGTGTCCCCGTGACGGCTCCGTGCGGGTCTCTGATAGCCGCACGTGCTTCCTTAGGAGTCTCTGTGTCCACTGCCGCCGCACATGCTGTTCCTCACACGGACGTGCAGAACCATTGACACGGCCTGAAACACAATCCATAGATCCATGGACGCTACACATGGTGCAGTTGTTGTTTTTGCATTTCCCAGAATGCTTTGCGGCTCCTGCCCGGCTGTGATAGGTCGAGAAGCCTCTGCCTAAATCCCCCAGAATGCTGTGCGCTTCTGACACGGCTTTACTTCCTGTGTTTTCTTCCTGTTTTTTCTAACGGAGTGAAGAGAAACTATCGAACATACTATCGACCCCGTTTTCTATTGATATCGAACACGTGTCTATCGCAAAATATATTGTTATCGTTTTATCGCCCAGCCATAGGTTCGAGTCCACTGCAAGACCTTCTCCACCGAAACTGAAATCCCCCACTGTGGGACTATTAAAGGACCTTCTTATTTCCTTGGGCCTTAAAACCTGCTCCTAAAAGTATCATAATATAGAGGTTTTTCTTGCCGATGCAGGAGGGTCTGAGCACAGTGGTGATGTCAATGTCAGATTTAATTGTATGGCACATTTAGAACAACACCAGCTGCCCCAAGTGCTTCACAGGAACACAAGATTTAAAAACAAACAGGATAAATACGCACAAATACAAGTAAAAGTAAAACTCAGCCAAGGCGATTCTTAACATATCGCGATACAGTAAGTATTGTGATTTGATTCTGCGATATATCCTGATTCATGTCCCTGATATTATTCAAAGGCGTTACAAACATTGAGGAAAATAATAATAATTCTTATAAGTCTTATCTTCCTCAAATTTTGCCTTTGAATAATATGAGGGACATGAATGACGATATATCGCGGATTCAAATCACGATACTGTCTGTACCGCGATATGTTAAAGGAGCTATACCCGTTTCTGCAGAGGTTTGAATGTTTAGCCCCGCCCCCGACTCGCTCACAGGCTTCTCATTTCCCCTACGCCCTCATCCCACGGAGCCATCTAGTTTTGTTTACGATCTGATACATATGCTAACATTAGCATTAGCGCAACTTAAGCTGTACAACAATCACTGATGAAATGGTACAAAAGCAATGCACTGCTAACAAAATATATAACTGAAAGATTACCGCTAGTTCCGCGTCCAAATGTAGTCCAAGCGTAGATAGTCCGAGTATAGATAGTCCGAGTATAGATAGTCCGAGTATAGATAGTCCGAGGCGGTCCCGCAGGTCTCTCCCATAGACCAGTCTCTCCCATAGACCAGTCTCTCCAGAGGATACGATGTAAGCGAGCTCTGTTCAGGGCTTGGTTTCTTCTTTGATCATGTTTTGGCTTTAGTTCCTCTTCTCTTCCTCACTGTTGTGTGGTTTGGGCTGTTTTGCTGTGTCTGCAGTTACAGACAGAGGAGTTATAGCCACTTATGCTAACATGCTACTGTGTTTAGCAGCGCTGTAGAGGCTACAGGACGCAGCCTCGTTCTGTGATTGGAGGAGAGCGGGCGTCACGCTAAGTCTCTACTCAGCACTTTTTACGCCTGAGTTCATACACAGCTGAATCAATAAGCTCAAGTTTTACATTAAATTACGGATTATAATACAACTTGTAGGTAGTAATAAGCATTTTTATGAACTACTTAGAAAATAAATCGGGTATAGCTTCTTTAAGAGTCGCGATAATATTGAATTGTAGCTTAAATATCGCCATACTATCAAATCATCCCATTTTTAATCATTTTTAATACTTTTTTCTGTCCATGATTTGAAAGTGGATTTGAGTAAACTATAGCTTGTGTTTTCTTCAATTTTGATTCTCACAATGAAGTGAAGCGGATCGTTGTGAATGAACCCAAACCTTTGCACACGTCCGCAGTCGTGAGCGGCGCCTGCAGAGACCTGTCCACAAGCAAACCTTGCAATTCCACTTCAAATTCCCTGACTTTCTATTCTGCGGCTGCTTAATTTCAGCAATCACGAAATCTCTTAAGACTTAAATGAGAGGGGTAGAGAGCACAGAGCGTGTCCGGGCCGCGGCTGTGGAAGCAGGGGTGACTTCAGGTAAACTATTCACTAGAAACACCAGATGTGTGCGGAACAAACTGCCAAGTCAAGCTTCCCTGTGAGAGCGGCAGAGGGAGGAGAGGGAAAAGTCAATGAAATGAAAAACTCTGCTGGGAGAGGCCAGAAAGAGAGCAGAGAGAGAGAGCAGAGAGAGAGCAGAGAGAGGCAAGAGGGAGAGCAGGGAGAGAGAGAGCAGAGAGAGAGGGAGCAGAGAGAGGCAAGAGAGAGAGCAGAGAGAGGGAGAGCAGGGAGAGAGTAGAGAGAGGCAACAGAGAGAGCAGAGAGAGAGAGAGCGGGGAAAGAGGGAGCAGAGAGAGAGAGCAGTGAGAGAGGGAGCAGAGAGAGGCCAAAGAGAGAGAGGGAGCAGAGAGAGAGAGAGCAGCAAGAGGCAAGAGAGAGGCCAAAGAGAGAGCAGAGAGAGAGCAGAGAGAGAGGGAGCAGAGAGAGAGAGAGCAGCAAGAGGCAAGAGAGAGGCCAAAGAGAAAGCAGAGAGAGAGCAGAGAGAGAGCAGAGAGAGAGCAGAGAGAGAGACCTACAGATGAAGTGGAACATTAGCGATGGCTGCTAACTTGTGGACACGACAACACATCACATTTTATAATTACATATTTTTGATTTTGTATTTGCTTTTATACATTTCTAATACATTTATAGTTCATAATTGGGCTCTTTTCACTTCCCCCACATGACAGTATACAGTATGTGTTTTCCTCTGCTGCTGTACTTCTGTGTACGTTTGTGGAATGTAGGAGAAAGTCTCGGTGTGTCTGTGAGTGTGTTGCTTTGGCAGAGCCCAGAGAGACCTGAGAGAGAGCAGAGAGAGACATGAGAGAGACCAGAGAGAGGCCGGAGAGAGAGCAGAGAGAGCCAAAGAGAGAGCAGAGATAGACCTGAGAGAGACCAGAGAGAGAGCAGTGAGAGAGCAGAGACAACAAAGAGAGAGAGAGAGAGAAAAGAGAGGGAGAAGAGAGAGGCAAGTGAGAGCAGAGAGAGAGCAGAGAGGCCAAAGAGAGAGCAAAGAGAGAGCAAAGAGAGAGCAGACAGAGGCCAAAGAGAGAGCAGAGAGAGGCCAAAGAGAGAGCAGTGAGAGAGCAGAGAGAACAGAGAGAGAGAGCAGAGAGAGGCAGAGAGACAGACCAGAGAGAGAGACCAGAGAGAGACCAGAGAGAGACCAGAGAGAGACCAGAGAGAGACCAGAGAGAGACCAGAGAGAGAGACCAGAGAGAGAGACCAGAGAGAGACCAGAGAGAGAGTACGTGTTTTCCTCTGCTGCTGTACTTCTGTGTACATTTGTAGGAGAAAGTCTCGGTGTGTGTCTGTGAGTGTTGCTTTGGCAGAGCCCAGAGAGAGACCTGACGTGCCCCGTGTGGCTTTTACACTCATAAACAAACTCCTCCTAGTCCCACCAGAAAATCAGACTCCAACGGCCCATTTCTGCGGCATCTCTGGGCATAAACATCCAGCCATATGGATTCTGACGTGGGCCTCACCTCGGGGACTTCTGGGGTCATCTTAGCCGGAAAAATCTGGTGTTTTTTCGTGGGATGGATAAAACTCTTCATTCAACTGTCTCGAGGGTGAAGGCTCATGGGAGTTTATCTGCAGGACTTTAAAGTGCTAAAGTTTGGCCTTTTTTTTGTAGTCAGAAATGTACGCAGAAAGAATACATAAACAAGAATATATTTTGATTTTGTCGGGATATTGTTGAAGTTACTAGTTACTTTTGTGGTCTCTTGCTCTCTGGTCTCTCTCTCTGGTGTCTCTCTCTGGTGTCTCTCTCTGGTGTCTCTCTCTGGTGTCTCTCTCTGGTGTCTCTCTCTGGTGTCGCTCTCTGGTCTCGCTCTCTGGTCTCGCTCTCTGGTCTCGCTCTCTGGTCTCTCTCTCTGGTCTCTTGCTCTCTGGTCTCTCTCTCTGGTGTCTCTCTCTGGTGTCTCTCTCTGGTGTCTCTCTCTGGTGTCTCTCTCTGGTGTCTCTCTCTGGTGTCGCTCTCTGGTCTCGCTCTCTGGTGTCTCTCTCTGGTCTCTCTCTCTGGCCTCTCTCTCTCTGGTC